TGGCAATTTGATCTCTGGTTCCTCTGCCTTTTCTAAACCCAGCTTGAACATCTGGAAGTTCACAGTTCATGTATTGCTGAAGCCTGGCTTGGAGAATTTTGAGCATTACTTTACTAGTGCATGAGATGAGTACAATTGTGGGGTAGTTTTCAGCATTCTTTGGGATTGCCTTTCTTTGGCAATATTGGAATGAAAACTGACCTTTTCCAGTCCTCTGGCCACTTCTGAGTTTTCCAAATTTGGTGACATATAGCATCATCTTTCAGGATTTGAAATAGCTCAACTGGAATTCCATCACCTCCATTAGCTTTGTTTGTAGTGATGCTTCCTAAGACCCACTGGACTTCACATTCCAGGATGTCTGGCTCTAGATGAGTGTGACTGATCACACCATCGTGATTATCTGGGTCATGAAGATCTTTTTTGTACAGTTCTTCTGTGTATTCTTGCCACCTCTTCTTAATATCTTCTGCTTCTGTTAGGTCCCTACCATTTCTGTCCTTTATTGAGCCTATCTTTGCATGAAATGTTTTCTTGGTATCTCCAATTTTCTGGCACATTGATAACACCAAATGCTGGTGATGATATGAAGCAATAGGAAATCTTATACATTTCTGGTTGGAATGCAAAATGGTACAGCCACTTTGAGAGGTAGTTTGTCAGTTTCTTAAAAAAATAAATATATTCTTAACATACAATCCAGATATCATACTCCTTATTATTTACTCAAAGGTGTTGAAAACAAATCCACACAAGATCTTGATGCGCTTATATCTGTCTTCTGTCCCGGTATATGTATTTATCATAGAAGTGTATTTTATTGAAAGTACAATAATGAAATTGGTAGCCTAGTTCTTGGAGAAGGCAATGGCACCCCACTCCAGTACTCTTGCCTGGAAAATCCCATGGACAGAGTAACCTGGCAGGCTGCAGTCCATGGGGTCTCTAAGAGTCGGACACAACTGAGCAACTTCACTTTCACTTTTCACTTTCATGCACTGGAGAAGGAAATGGCAACCCACTCCAGTGTTTTTGCCTGGAGAATCCCAGGGACGGCGGAGCCTGGTGGGCTGCCGTCTGTGGGGTCGCACAGAGTCAGACACGACTGAAGTGACTTAGCAACAGCAGCAGCAGCCTAGTTCTTGACTTCTGTTTGGTGTATTTTCATAAATGTTAACATCACGTAGCTCCTCAGATTGCACAGTGGTGGACTCCTGCCAGTGCAGGGACACAGGAGTTACAGGCTTGGTCCCCGGGTCGGGAAGATGCCCTGGAGAAGGAAAGGGCACCCACTCCAGTATGCTTGCCTGGAGAATCCCGTGGACAGAGGAGTCTGGCAGGCTACAGTCCATGGGGTCGCAAAGAGCTGGACATGACTTTGCGACTGAGCACACACATGAATAAATATCATAAAAGTAATTTTTATTTATAGAGGATAGTAAAAACATGTAAAGGTAATAAAAACAATAATAAGTTTAGATTTATCTGATGAAATATAAATCTGTACATAAATTAAACCCCAAAATACATGTTTAATAAAAGAGTTTATTGATTCTCCTTTTATTCTGAAAATTGTGGTCATGTAATCATATTTAGGAGACTTAGCCCTAGAGGTGTTTGAGTCATTTATTATCTGGAGTTAATTGTATTCATTGAGCATCACAGAAGCAGCGACTGCTTAAATCTGGAAGCTGCAACCAATAGAAACTTAGCTACCTGGGATAATTTTCATTTTTATTTCGTAATATGTATGAAAGCTTTACTTTTGTATGCATGCTGAATCATGCCTTACCTCACTACAAACTAGGGAATATGTTTTTCTTTTGAACCACCGCATATAAGATGTCAGAAAATTTCATCCAGACAAAGGCAGGTTTCAGAATTATCCATTGGCAAAGTCCATGGTATACCAGATTGTCAAGTAGGCAGAGACCTGGGGGCCTAGGACCAAAAGGGATTTTGTGCCAGTACCATGCTATTTGATTACTATAGCTTTGTAGTTAGTCTGAAGTCAGAGAGGTTGCTATCTCCAGCTTTGTACTCTTTTCACAAGATTGTTCTGGCAATTTTAGGTCTTCTATGATTCCATGTAAATTTTCAGATTATTTGTTCTAGTTCTGTGAAAAAAAATTGCTTTAGTTCTGTTGTGGGTAATTTGATAGGGATTGAATTAAATTATAGATTGCTTTGGGTAGTATAACCATTTTATTAATCCTAAACATTCCAGTTGAAGAGCATAGAATACCTTTCTACTTCTCTGAGTCAGCTTCAGTTTCCTTCTTCAGTGTTTTTAGTTTTCAGAGTGTAAGTCTTTCACCTTCTTGGATAAGTTTGTTCCAAGGTATTTAATTTTGTGTGATTTTTATTTGTTGTTAATTTCATTGGGATACAGTTGCTTTACAGTGTTGTATTAGTTTCTGCTATAC